AGTGGAAGCCCAGGCTCTCAGTGTCTGCTTCCCTTCTCTCCCCCTACTTTATAGTCCTACATGAGAACCAACTGACCCACACAGACTTGAAGCCAGAGAACATCCTATTTGTGAATTCTGAGTTTGAAACCCTCTACAATGAGCACAAGGTATTAGGGGTGGGGAAGAAGGCAAAGTCCTGCTTGGTGTTAGGGCAGCAGGAAGCCCCCTATACTGAGTCCTGATGTGGCCCACACTGCCCTTCAGAGCTGTGAGGAGAAGTCAGTCAAGAACACCAGCATCCGAGTGGCTGATTTCGGCAGTGCCACCTTTGACCATGAGCATCACACGACCATTGTGGCCACCCGTCACTATCGCCCACCTGAGGTGATCCTTGGTGAGTAATGGTGTAGCCCCCAGACCTTGTTAATTGGCCTGCTGTAGGGACGACATGAACAGAGGCAACCAGTGTACCTATGGGTCACAGGTGGCAGTGTCATGTGTCACTCGGGTTGTTGACTTGGGTCAGCCTTACCAAGGGAGGCACTTCACTGGGATTTGGGCAAGAATGCTGCCTGCCAGCCAGTGTGGCAGCTGCCCTGTGACTTTTGGGCAGGGAGTACGGGGCAGGACCTCATAGCCTATCCCCATCTTGGTTTTCAGAGCTGGGTTGGGCACAGCCCTGTGATGTCTGGAGCATTGGCTGCATTCTCTTCGAGTACTACCGGGGCTTCACACTCTTCCAGGTATGGCCGTCCTGATGGGATCCACTCCTCTGAGCACCCTTGCTCTGACAGGCCTCAGGAGACTGGTTGGGAAGCCCATGTACCTTAAGAGGCAGGTGTCTGCTGCCATCCACTAATCATCCATGTTGAGATTCAGGGTGGAGTTCTTGCAGGGAAGGAAGAGGTCAGGGGAGCTGGACCAATCAGGGAGGAGTCATGAATTGGGCCATCAGGGATGGAGGGTAGCATGTTTCTTTGGTGGGTTTGCATCTCATGGGGCAGGGAAGGCACTTGCCCACCTATTCCTTTTTCTTCTTGAGGGACTGAGGCTGGTATTAACACTTGCTCTGTCCTTGACTGTCCACAGACTCATGAAAACCGAGAGCACTTGGTGATGATGGAGAAGATCCTAGGTCCCATCCCTTCACATATGATCCACCGCACCAGGTGAGGAGCCCATTATTAGCCCCCTCAGGGCTAGCCTTGGTGCCTTTTCCTTCTTGCCTGGGTTCAACAGCATACTAAATGGTCTCTGCTGGACATCTGTGCTGCCTCCAGCCTTCCTGTACCCCCTCCAGACTTCCCAGCAAACCTCTTGTCCAGACCTTCCTGCCCTGCTAGGTCTGGCCAGAGCTGCCTTTTCCCACCTCCCACCAGACTTGTCCCCTGGTACTTCCAACACTTGACAAACAGCCTCCCTCTGTATTTCCAGGAAGCAGAAATACTTCTACAAAGGGGGCCTGGTCTGGGATGAGAACAGCTCTGACGGCCGGTATGTGAAGGAGAACTGCAAACCTCTAAAGGTCAGTTTTTGGCTTCCCTCAGGTCAACTCATGCTGAGAACCCAAGCACTGGGCAGACATATAGCAGAGAAGGCAGCTAAAGGCTGCCTTGTCATTCCAGCTGTGGGAGGCTGCGCCCAAGATTGCTGGGTGCTGGCAGTGGGGCTTTTGGCAGATTGCCCCAGAGGGGCCTTGACTCCACTCCGTCCCCACAGGATGGCTATGAATTTCATTGGAGAACACCAGAAGAGCCCAATGTCTGAGACACTGCTACTTCTTACCCCTGTTCCCCTCTCCATTTTGGGAAGAAGTAGGCAGGGCTAAAGTGAAGGGGAGGGAAGATTTAGACATGGCCAGAAAGCCTGTGTCAATGGCGTGGGTGCTTGGACAAGTGAGTTTTTAGAGGGGATTTCTGCCACCTGTCAGGACTTTGCATATATGGAGGCAGAGGCACCAATGCATATGTAGAGGCAGAGGCACCAATCCAGCAAGATACCCAGTAGCCCAACAAGTTCAGACCAGAGTGTTAAACAGCATCAAAGGAAAGAGCTGTTCATTTTCTGTCCAGGAGAGTGAAATTAGAGTTCTCCTGGGGGGGGGGGGGGTGTTACTTTCTCCTTTACTAGTCCAGCAAGATCCAAGGCAAGGAGGGGGGGGCCTGCTGTGGCTTCCCAAGACCCTGTCATCACACTGAGGCATCTTGTGTCCCTGATCAGAGTTACATGCTCCAAGACTCCTTGGAACACGTGCAGCTGTTTGACCTGATGAGGAGAATGTTAGAGTTTGACCCTGCCCAGCGCATCACACTGGCGGAGGCCCTGCTGCACCCCTTCTTTGCTGGCCTGACCCCTGAGGAGAGGTCCTTCCATAACAGCCGCAACCCAAGCAGATGACAAGTGCAGGCCCCTGCACAGAGGAGATGGAGGCTGGGACTGGGCTGCCCAGCCCCTTTTCTCCAACCTCTATCACCAGGCCCCAGGGCCAGAGCCACCCAACGAACAGTGCAATGTGAAGGAAGGCAGGAGCCTACAGGGGAGGAGACTTCGTGCCCAGCTGCCAGAAAGCACAGATTTGACCCAAGCTATTTATATGTTGTAAAGTTATAATAAAGTGTTTCTTACTGTTTGTAACCCCTGGTACCGGTGTGTCCGTCTCCAGGCTCCTTGCCTTCTCCTCCCCTCCCCAGACCTTATTAATAAAGTCTTTCTTAGCAGTTCAGCTTGTGGAGAGCTAAGTGTGAAGTGGGCCAGACACAGAAGGGCTAGCCAAAGAAAAGATGAGAACCTGGGATATCCCTCGGGGGAGAACAGATCCTGCCCTGAGGTGGCAGGCCCTTTGGGTACTGACCTGCACCAGCTCCCCTGCTGTCTCCAAGAACTTTAAGTGGCCTGCTTATGGCTGACCACATAGGCTGGACTTGGCCCATCCTCCCCATTGCGGTCCCGGGGAGGCAGTACCTCATCTCTGTATACAGAGGAATTCACCACACATCACAGGACTCAGTCATTCAGCTTTATTTAGTGCTGGTTTTTGGTTCCCCAAGGGCTGCATGAGATAGTCTTGACTACCTGACTGGAGCCTCTTGGGGACTGGGCACTGCGGGCAGGATGCCTCTGAAAAGAGCTTAAGAATAGAGGAGTCATGCTTATCTTTAATACCACTGGAGAAGGCCCAAGCTGAGGGCAGAAGGAACCCCAGTGCCACCTGGGAAAAGGAGGAGAGGCTTGGGCACAGACTCCCAGTAGCCCGTCAACAAGGCTATCACCCCCAGGGCCATGAAGGCTTACTGGAGCAAGCAGTCTTCTGGGCAGCTCATTTTCCACTGTACCCAATCAGGGGGCCTAACTGTTGGCAGCCAGAACCTGTTTAATGATCGCCTACTAAAATGTCTGCTATCCAGCACTGCTCCTTGGATTGTGGCCCTGCCTCTAAAGAGAGGGCCCCATCTTGGGACCTTCTTGGCCCTGAGAGTGAACAAGAGGCTCAGGGAGGATGCTCAGAGCCAGGCTCAAAGCCCCTGTCGTCCTCCCACTGCTAGAGAATTTAACATTTGAGGAAGGGAGGGACCAGCCCTCTCTGCCTTTCCTCATTTGCTCCTGGCTATGCTCCTACAAGAAAAGTGTTAAACAGCCTGAAAACCATGACACAGAGCCTACCCTGTGTCCACAATTCTTGGTAAGCCCTCCTCCCTTTAACCAGAGTAGGTGGGCATAGAGCAAAAGGAAATCTGAAGCCCTGGAAAAGACTTTAAAGCACAAGCCCCTGGGAAAGACAGTTCCAAGGGCATGGCTCCTGTCCTACCAGCCTCCAGGGCTGAGGCCTATGATGGTCCTAGGGCTCAGCCCCTTAGGATCTGAGCAGCATTGTGTGTCCACCTATGGCTGAGCCCTACCAGCTAGTTCATGTAGAACCAGCCTCATTTGGCATCTGAGATAGGGCATTTGCCCCAAGCCTGCTCATCCAGAGTAGACACCAGACAAGGGTTCAAAGCCTAGACACTGCAGGAGCTGGGGTGGAGCCCAAGCAAGGGAAGGACATGTGCCCTGCTCTGGGATAACAGCTGAAGAGGACTATTTCAGGGGAAGAGCAGAGGGGGCAGAGTAGAGTAAGGGCAAGTACATGTGGGAAAGTGGTGGCCTAGGGCAGAAGCACCAGGGAGCCTCTTCTGGCTCAGCACCAGGCTCCCCCAGGGGCCTCCCCAATACTGAATATTAAAGCTGCACCCTGAGGGGCCTGGCCCCAGACTAGGCAAAGGCTTATCCCCCAGTTAGAGGGTGTGTGGGTTAGGGGTGGGGGCACTGCTGGCAAGATGGGCACTGTGGTTCTACAGTAACATAACCTTATACTACCTGTGCTGAAAACAACAGAAAAACTATAAAATCCCAATACAGTAACACCATCCCAATGCCCCTCACCCCCTTCCCTGCCTCTTAGAGGGATGGAGTGCAAAGGCTGGAAGGACTCTTGGAAAAATTCCAGCATAAACAGATCAACTCTGAAGAAAAAGTCAAAAGACCCCTAATCAACCTGGAGGGGGGCGTAGGGGTGGGGGTCAGGGAGCTGGGAACGCCTAGTCACACCCTCAAAATAAAGAACAGAAAGCCTGCCCTCCAGTGGGCAGCTGCAGCATGGCTGGTTCTACATGATTAAAAGAAGGGCTGCCCAGGCTGGGCCAAGCAGGGAGACAAAGCCACAAGCTCTGAAACAGAGCAGGTGCAGGCCCACAGGTGGGAGCTGCCCCACCCCCTGGGGGGGTGCCCTGGGGTGCTCACCCAGGCCCAGTGGCTGTAAACCTGAAACACAGTCTGAGAGCTGCCTATGTCTGTAAACAAAGCCCCACCTGGCCAAGTGGGCCAAGGGCAGATGGGAGCCACTGTGCACTCAGCCTGCCACCCACCCATGCACCCAGAGGGAAAGCCTTCCCAGGCTATGGGCAGGTGACAGGTCAGTTGTCTGTTCTCTCACAAAAGAAATATACCTAAAAGAAAAAATTTAACAACAAGGTCCATGATGCTTCACATCCTTAAGGCGTTCGTTGTCAAGTTCAGCAGGGGACCTGCCAGCCTACCCCAAGCCCCTCTAGGCAGAGTGCAGTGGGATGACAAACTTGCAGCCAAAGGGTGAGTGGTAGTTGATGCCCACCTCCTGGAACACCTGCTGGGGAATGCCAATGTCACACAGATAGACACGGCCTGCGTGATCCCCCAGTGGCAGAGGCAGACCCAGTGCTAGTGACCATTTGGCATCGATGCCCTGTTCAACTTCATGCACAGGAGGGTCTATGCTGAGTACTGGTGCCCGGTTCTGGTTGGCCCAGGCCACAGCTGCCTTGTACCAGGGCTGGTCCCGTAGGAAGGCATTCTCAGGGCAATCCAGGCAATTGATCACCAAGTCCACAGGGCTGGTGGGGAGATCTGCAGGTAGAAACAGTGCCATTTGAAAATTCCTATAAGCAGAGAACAGCCCAAGCTGGGACTAGAGCCCAGTGTGGCTCTAAGTGTGTCCTATTCTCTATGCTCTACCCTGCTGCCTTCCAGAGGCTGGCTTTTTGCAGTCTAGGCCAGGACTCAAGCCTGGCTGACTGGGTACTAGAGACCAGGGGCATGTCAGCTGATGGAGTACTGCCCTCATAGTGCTCCAAGGCTAAAGTGGTGTCCCACTGGTGTGGGCAGGGCTACTCAGGCCAGACGCCCTGGGTACAGGTCCCAGGCTTAAGACCTATACCCGTCCACTGTCTGGCAGGCAAGCCTCTCTATACACAGTACTAACTCCTTGTATACATTTTGAGTTCTGAGAAGACTAAGTTCACTGCTTAGTCGGCCTGCCCAGGGCTCTGCAGAAATAGGACCTGACTGCTGATTACTAACTGCCCCAAGAGGTGTGAGTGGATGAGAGAGCATGCTTGCCCTTACTATCCAGGCTCACCTACTCTACTCAGCCAGCCTGCCCTCCTCTCTGGCCCCTTCATTATCTCATGGGTATGGGTCCTCTACTCATCCCAAACTTCACAGCAAGAAGAGAATCTGTAATTGTTCTTCCCAGGGATTTTAAAAGGCTCCCCAACATTAACAGGCCTCTGGGACAGTGTACTAAGAACATGATGTCTCAACAAGTATATAAATCTTGTCCTGTGGCTTCCAGCCAATAAACAGACAAGCAAACAGGGTGGACATTTACATCAGATAGATACACTTCTCGGAGCGATCAGTCAGTGGGAGAACAGAAGGACAGTGTTTGCAGAGGGAGACAGCTTGAGGGGAGGAAGTACATGGGAGAGAAGGACACAAGAAAGAGGTAACTACCAGGAGGAAGTGGGAAGAACGCTGGTACATTGTGGGGAATTGCAATCAATGTCATGAGACAAAATGCATATGAAGTACTGTATGAAAACTGAATTTGCTCTGTAAGCTTTCACCCAAATCACAATAAAAATCTGGAGGAGACAAAAATAAAAAAAGTATGTAAGTCTTGGACCAGCCTAAGAGGTTAAACAGAGAATAACAAACCAGACCAAACTCATGGGTCATCATCATCAGACTTGCCTCCCAGGGCACCTGAGATATGAAGCCTTTTGGGCAACCAGAGGAAGAACTGCCTGCAACAGAAGTATCATGTTATAACATTCAAGAAGGGGAACCCACACTAGGCCCCTTTCCCAGGTCTCCATTGAAAGTAATGACACTTCTTAGAGATACATGGTTCCCCTACTGAAAACATGTCACCACAGGGAGTCCCCCTATGGGCCATGAGGTTCAAGAGTAAGAGAGGCATCTTTCTGAGAGCCTGAAGAAGCCTGGCCTGAGAACTAGATCAATGTTGTGGGTTCAGGTTCTGCCCTGACTCGTCATCTGACCTCAAGCAAGGCCTTTTCTCTGGGCCATATCTGCTCTTTCCAATTCTTCTCCCTGTCTTCTCTTCAGACCCTATCAGACTTTAGCTCTACCACTCCATGTGAAGCAGTGATATCTAGCCGCCCCCCCCCAAAAAAAAATCTAGTGGTCAATTTTCAGTGTTCACTTGACCTAACCTGGAGTGCTCTGCTAACACAACTGCTCATATACCCTCCTCCTCCTTTATCTGGCTTTCAGATATCATCCTCCCTTCCCTTCATTGGCCACTCCATCCATGTCTCCTTAGCTGGTTTCTAAATAAAAAGCTCAGTCTTTGGACTTCTCAATCAATTTGCTCTTACCAGATAATCTTATTCAGGCTCATCACAGCTTCAAACATATCTATCTGTAAAGTTGTAACGCCAGATTGGAGTAACTCCAGTGTCACATATCCTACTACACAATGAACACTCCCACCTGCATATCCAGTGTTGGTGGTGGTATTGTTGTATGTGCTGTTCAATCAATTTTGACTCATACTGGCCCCATGAGATAGCAGAACTGCTTGCTCCACAGGGTTTTCTTGGCTGTAATCTTTATGGAAGTAGATTGAGGAGCTGCTGGGTAGGTTCAAACTGCCAAACTTTTAGTTTAAACATTGTAGCACCAGGGCTCCTTAGTCTCTACTCTTTCTCCCCATACCTATTCCTCTTTCGTCTTCCTATCTCTAGAAATCTCTATCCTTCTAGTTACTCAAGCCAAAAACCCTGAAGGCCTTCTTAACTCTTCTAGTTCTCTCACATCTCACATTTGTTGATTCTGTTTTCAAAACTGATTCATAAATGAATTTGCACATCTCCAACACTACCACTTTCTTTCTTTCCCTTAGTACTCCTACAGTCTACTCTCAAACAGCATCGAGAATGATCATTTGAAACCTGAGTCAGATTATGTCACATCTCTGCTTATTCCTCCAATACCTGCTTATTCCTCCACTCTTACAGTGATCCATAAGGCCCTTCACAACTTAACTCTGAAATGCTCATCTAAGCACATCTCCCACTTCTCAACCCATCCCCCAACACACTTTGCTTTATTTTTCTCCATAACACTTACTATCATCTGACCTAAAATAAATGTTATTTATTTAGTCTTTCCTAACTAGGATGTAAGCTCCACAGAAGCACGATTTCTTAATCTACTGCTATATCCCAAGTGCCCAGAATAGTGTCTATTCCATAAATATTTGTAAAACAAAGAAATGCACCCTGGTTCTCTATTTTAGTAGTAGGGGAGAGACAAGAGGGAAGAGTTGGCAAGGAGGCAAGTCGATACCAAGAGTTTTTCCTTTCTGTTTATCTTACATTCTTCTAGGAACCTGTCTTTACACATATGGGGCCTTTTCATCAGTTGCCACTAGGTGGCACCATCAGGTCACCAAACTACCATACAGGGAGCAGGCCTGAGCCCCAGCTGATGTTAAATGCTCACCTTTGAGGCTGGATACTTGTTGGCCTTGGGTTTTGCTGAAGAGAGACAGCTCATTGGTGATGGATTCTAGCATCTTGACAAAGTTGGGCAGGAAGAGGATGACCTGGACATCATGGTTGGCTAGATGCCTTCCACAGCTGATACCCTGAGCCCCCTTCACATGGGGCCCACATAGCAGGGCCACTGTAGGCCTCTGGTGAACATTTTTGGGATTCAACCTGAAACAGAAGGTGGTGAAGAGCAGTGTCAGCAACAGACCTGCCAATACCGCATCCCATACCAGGCAAGTGCTTAAAGGCCTCTACTGCTTTCAGAGCATTCACCCTCTGCTCAACAAGTCCCAGACTCCGAGAGGGCCAAAATTCACTGTAGGCAAGGTCTACAGGGTGGTGTTCCCATTGCCCCACACCCCAGCACCACTTATTGCTGGGCTCTCTCATCAGGTAGTCCACCCAAGGTCTTGCTCCATACACCAATGTTGCCAGAACACTGCTTTCTGCCCAAGAACAGCAGTTCACTGTGTGGCCTGTTAGGCCCAAACCCTGCCTGGCCCAGAGGCTTTCCCACCTCTGCAGCCTTCTCTGTTCTTCTTCCTCAACATGTCTGCTCCACTCCAGCCAGGCTGCTCTCACCATTCTCTCCTGAATTTGGAAGGCTCTGCCTTGCTTGTGCTCAAATTATGCCCCCTGCCCAGCTCTGGTAGCATAGTGCCTAAGGCACTTGACTACTAACCAGAAGGCTGGCGGTTCAAACCCACCAGCCACTCCTCGGAAGGAAGGTTGGGCAATCTACCTCCGTAGTGATACTGCCTCAGAAACCCAAGAAGGGGTCGCTATGAGTCGGGGCTGACTCGACAGCACATAACAACAATAACAAAGTCCAGAAACTCAGACCTGCCTTTTCTTTGAGATCTAGCTCAAGATTTGCTTCTTCTAAGAAGTCTGCCCCGATTACAGCAGTTCACTCTGATTTTTTTTCCTTTTCTCAGCACCTCTAAAAAATTATAGCAGGAACCAAACAGGACAGTTCTAAACTGTCCTCTGTCAGTTGCTGGTCCAAGCTCTCTTTACTGAGCTGCCAGTAAACTAGTAAGGGTGATACTATAGATACTAATAGTGCCTACTTCATAGGATGCTATGTGAATTAAATGAGATAATGGATGGAGAACTCTCAGCACAGTGCCTGGCACATACACGTGCTCATTCAATACTGGTTACTGCTACCGTACTGGCCAAAGAGGAGGCAGCAGGCAGTGGGCAACTGCCTTGGACACCAGCTTCCTGATGGAATAGTCACTTTCATCTGCTTCCCCATTCAAAGCTGAGACCCTCACTGGTCTTAGAGAAGCCACAAGTAAGGGTTGGAGGATAAGCCCTAGAGCTGTGCCCAACTCACAGGCAGTGCAGTCTGCCCACATGGCGGGAAGGTAAGAAAGATGGACAGCAAGATAAAGGCCTTAAGTCCCTGAATAGGGACAAAGCAGTGTCACTTATTAGTCACCCAAAAGGAGGAAGATGACAGATGCTGTCAAGCTAAGGAGGAGCCTTATAACCCCTCTACGCCATTAAGTTTTGAGGAAATTTAACAATATACTCTATATATATACCAAAATGGGAGCTCTGGTAGCATAGTGCCTAAGGCACTTGACTGCTAACCAGAAGTCTGGCAGTTCAAACCCACCAGCCACTCCTCGGAAGGAAGATGGGGCAATCTACTTCCGTGGTGATACTGCCTCGGAAACCCAAGGAGGGGTCACTATGAGTCGGCTCTGACTCGACGGCACATAACAGTAACAACAACATATACAAAAATATTATTTTCTTCACTACTTATGAATCTTGAGAAAATATGAGAACTTCCCTTCAAATAGAAGTTGCAGAGTTCTGGCATTTTATTCACCTGTGTCTGTTCTCCAAATGGGTTCTCCCTCATAGATGAGACCAGAGCATGACAATCACACACCCAGCAGAAGGGGGCAGAGGACAGGAACTGAACAGAGATTTATCTGGAGTAGAGACCTGGTTCTACTACTTATGAGTAGTATTACCTTGGGCAAGTCCTGCACCTCTTTGAGCCCTAGCTCACTCATCTTAAAAAATGGGACTACTATTTACCTACAAGATGAACTTATGAGGATCAAATCAAATTCTGTTGTGAAAGAACAGTGGAAAATTAAAATTGCATGGCACCTGACACACATTAAACTTCAAGATTACAAACTATGGATTTGAGTTCTCAAAGGAAATTCAACAACTGCTGTGAAGGACAAGAGATGGCCCTTCTGAGAGTAAGAAACAGGCACAAGGATGCCCAGCCCCAAGAAGTTGGCTAGAGAGGAACAGGACATTCAGCTCCTGCCCAAGAATTGCTGTTTCTGAGCCATGGTCTCGAATACCCCTGGGAAGGAGCTGATCCCAGTGGCTGCTCTGGGTGAGGAGAGCAGCCAACAGGATCAAGGGCCTAATGCTCCTTCAGAGGGCATGTTACACTGCTTCTTTCTTTGGGAGTCTCTATTAACTATTCCCTGACACAGGAAAGGCCAGGGATTCAAGACAGGAAGGAAGGAGTCCTGAACTAAGGGACAAAAAGGAGTGAACACCCTACAACTTTATAGGGTGAGGGGGAAGGGAAACCTCACATCCAGCCTTGATAAAGCCATGTGTGACAAAGTGACTTTAGGATCAGAAGCCTTTCATCCAAACACAGCATCACCAGGACACAGGGGATTGAAAGAGGCTGGAGGGAGGAGTGGCAGGGTCTATCTGCAATGATGGTATTCCGGCAAGGACCTCCAAACCCAATGGCTAGAAGCACAGCTGAGGACTGGGTTCTATGTCCCAAACAGGAAGGGGGCAGCAGTGGCTCTTAAGAAACTCTGTCACACTCCAGGTCTATTGAGTGCTATTCAGGGAAACCAGGCTTTCCCTAACCCTGCTGAATGCAGGTCTCCCTGTTTCTTGAAAACCACTTTCCCCACTCCAGATGCCACTCTCCCACAAGGGAGCCAATGATACTTGTCCAACAGATACTTGTCAATGCTAATTTTGCTTGACCTCTCAGTTATACCACTGCTGATCATTCCTTACTTCTTAGAACACTCTTTCTTTGGTTCTTTAACTACCCTCTTGGTTTTCTTCCACCTCTGGCTTTCTCCCTCAGTCTATTTTAGAAAGCTCCTCATCCTCCTGACATTCTGCAGAATTTCACCCTATGCCCTTTCCTCTTTGTATACCTTCTCTTTGGATTCCCTAAAACCAAAAATTCAAACGTACTACCATCACATCAATCCCAACTCATAGCAACCCTGTAGGACAGAGTAGAACTGTCCTTTAGGGTTTCCAAAGGCTATCAATCTTTTCGGAAGCAGACTGTCTCATCAGTGGGTTAGAACTACTGACTTTTTGGTTAGTAGCCAAATGCCTTAACCACTGCACCACCAGAGCTCCTCTTAGATCCTGTAAGGAGACTACTTTTACACCATCTATAGGCTGATGATTCCCATATTTCCAAATCCAGCCCAGACCTTTTTCTAAACCTCAGATCTATATTGCTAACAGTCTATTTGGATATCTCACAGGCATCCCAAATTCAACATATCTAAAACAAAATCCACCATCTCCCCCAAACTTGTTTCTCTTCCCATGTGCCCTGTCACATAATGTGGTGAGTATCACTATCCAACTAGGTATTCAAGACCTGTTCAGTAATCACCTATACTCCATTTCCCTCACCTCCAAAATCCACTCAATTACCTTGCCTGTTGAATTCACCTTTATAAAAAAATTTCTCATCTACCCACTTTTCTGATCCCTGCTTCCGGTCACCATCTATCTTCTGGCTTACTGTTACAGTTTTCGTATTGGTCTTTTTGTGACCAGTCTTGACTCTATTCAATCTACTGCCTACACTGCAACTAAAGTCATCTTTTGAAAACACAAGACTAACCATGTCATAGCCCTACTGAAAGCCCTTCAGCAGCTCCTTGCTCAGCTACACAGAATACCTAATGGCTCCCCAAGTTTCATGGTCTCCTAATTCTTTCTGCTCTTTGCATGTGATATTCCTTATACCTAGCATACGTTTCCCTCTTCCTGCTTGCCTGTTAATCCTCCTTGTTCTTCAGGAGTCAGCTTGGATACCACTGTTCTGGGAAGTCTAACTGACTTCTCCAGTCTAGAACAGAAGTGTGGTTTCCTAGAGAATTTGCTATTTCTTCTACTACAACACAGTACTTTGTGGAGACCTCACTAGGCTACTTGAAGGCAGGAGCAATATTTTATTCTTTGTTGTATCCTGAATGCCTACTGCACACGGTCTGGTATACAGTGGGTATCAGAAGTGTCAAAAAGAAAATATTGGTGCATGTGCTATTGATAACAGGAGCCTAAGGGGTAGGTGGGAAAGTACCAAACCTCAGCTCCTCTATCCAGTTGTCAGGGTAGTTCTAGAAGTTCTTACACATGAAGTTCAGGACTGATTTGCATCCCTGCCATCCTTGAATGAAATGACGAGCCAGAACCAAGTACAGGGTTTCTAAAGTTTTCTAGAAGGCAGGCCTCTGGTACTTAGCAGGAATCTCAAGGTCAGACTAGCTGCTATGAGCAAAGAAAGGGTCAAAGGCAGGCTGGCTGAGAAGAATGAGGACTTCCAGAAGATAGGTATGACAAGGGGCAAACAAAGAAACCTGGTAGCATCCAGGAAAGTGATTTCATAGAGATGCTTATGTTCAATGAGCAGCACCTGTCTGATGGATTCGTGTCAGAGACACTGTGGTGGTGACTAGGCAGAGGATTATCACCCACATTCAGCCCCTACCAGGCTAGAGGCATTTACCTGTTGGGTCCTCCAAGGAGGGTCAGTGCCATCTGACTGGCACAGACGCCTGTCATCTCCAGTCTCCGCTCCAGAGTCAGTCCATGCTTCTCAGCCACGGATAACAGCTTTTTATGCAGCTCATAGGAAATACTTGGGACAACCAGGCCAGAGTCTGCAGTTCAAAAGGAAAGAAAGGGAAAGTGACTACTGGAAATCAGGTCCAAAAATAAGTGTGTTCTCTTTTCAGTATTCTGTGAAAGTCAAGACTTTAAGATGGACATTCACCTGGGATGTATTCTCTGCAGCCCTTCCAAGCTTAGCAGTGGATGGTAAATTGAGTAATAACTTTTTCCAGGTTATCATAGAGCATGGACGAACTTTAGTTCCCTTAGCAGTTAGCTTCACACAATGAAGACCTAATCTACCACGATGTATTTGGTACCACTAAGAAAACTCACGTTACAACAATAACAACAAGAAAACTCACACATGGTGTATGCAACAACAGCCTATCAACCACATTACAAGAGAACCTGTTTTTCCCCAAATGGGGAAAATCCCATCCCTGATAGTAAAGTTCTCTTCACAAGCAAACCCCTATCCTTTCCCACAAGTGGAACAGATAACTAGGTAAGCCTCCTGACCCTCTGCTTCCTTCTGTTCTCCTCAACTTTGAGGCAGGATGACTTGTTTATCCCATCTGCTTCCTACTTCTTCTTTTCCCTCCTCTCTTCTATTAAACTCTTCCTCTTTGCTTAAGAAATTTAGCAAGCAACTTATTTATTAAAATAATTTGTCATTTTCTCCCAATTTGGGGAGTATTAACCCAACACTTATACCACAAGAAAGATTACATGTAAATTAACCCACGGCTGGCTTTAATGAGCTACTCAGAGAAATACTGAACATTTTTCATTCACCATAAATAATAAGAACTTTATAAAGGTAGGGGAGAGTCATTAAAAATACACTATGGAAAGTACATGGTTTTCTAGGCTCAAAGCCAAAGTCTGCAACAGCATGTACAGTATAAGGAGTCTATGGTATTATATGCATCAGTATCAATGTATCAGGTGCTGTTTCAGAGCCCAGAAAACCAGGACAGGTAAGAAAACAGTACACTCAAAAATTGTGATCTGTAATCACCAGCTCTTGCCTAGACAATGGATCTCTATCCCTCCAGATGTCAATGCCATCTTACCAATGCAAAAGCCACCAGGATGGCTCCAAGGGAATAGACCCTTTGCCGAAGAGTACACTAGGTCTCACTGGCTGATGGACCAATAAACACAAATTCCAATTAGCAAGTCACAGTGGGATTGCATGTAACTAGTTTTGTCTGACTGGATCAGATGACTCTTCAGATCCTGTTTCTGTAACTATACTGAACTGTAAACTCTCCAAAGTTTGGAAATAAGCCTTTTACTTTTATCAAACCCTACTTCCTCAACTACTTTATCAATAGAGGAGAGTTCTCACCAGGTACTCAAACATACAAATGATGCAAATCTAGTCTAGTGAGATTTCTGCTCTGGACTAAGTCTAAGGTAGCAGTTTTCAGTAGGTTCATCCTTATCTTATTACAGTTTTAGAGCCCTGTCATTACTGTTATTGTTGCAATTTACAAGCTATGTTCTTGGTTCCCTTCCATTGGAGGTATTTTCCTCCCTCTGCCTGTTTCTGATAAGCCAGTCAGACTGGTCGGACTTTGTGTATGAATGTTTAAAAGGAAAATTGTGTGGTACTTGCACAAGGAAAAACTTGTCCTCTTTACTAGACATGGCAGGAGAAATTTCTTGGGATCTTGTCAGATGTTCAAACCTGTCTACCTATATTCTTAAAACCACACAGAGTGATGATATGAATGTACATTGTAACAACAGGAACCCAAATACAAAGACTGAACCTAAAGCACCCAGATCTGTATCCTCTTTCCAGGGGAAGGGAGAATAATAATAATTTAATGTAATGATGACAATAAAAATATACTATCCTGTCAGTTCATTGTACCCCTCTACTTGTCTGAATCTTATTTTCATTGTGGGCAGAGGCAACAAACAATATGATTAGGAGCGCTGAGTCTGTCCTCCCACCCCTTGCTGAAATGTCAGTCACTGGTGTCCCAGGTGCCAATGCTAGAAGCTGCAGCCTGACCTTGCATGTCAACAGCTGATTAAAACAGCCATTTTTTATGGCCTGCTTCTGATACATACATATTATCACTATTTAAGAACTGTTGATAGCAGTGTGAAGAAGCTGAACAAATTCTCAGGAGTCCCAAGCCAGTAACAACCCTAAACCTGTCAGACAAGTCACGCACCTGCCAGCTTCAAACAATCTCTTTACCTGCAAAGTCACGCAAGGTAGAGCTTTCACTCAAATCTATGTACTTCTTCATCTATTTATCAGTCCTCTCTGCTGAATTTGAAGCTGGTTAGGACAATGAGTCTTTCTAGGTCCAGCTTTTGCGCTGTGTGGACAGATCTCTCCCCCGCCAATCTTCCCATCTGAGGGCTTTGAACACTCTCTGAGGGTAGGCAGAAGCATTCATTGCTGGGTTTCTTCTCATAATACTTAAGGTACAGAGAGACCCACCCAGCCCACCCAGCTGGGTAGACCTTGCAGCTGAAAACTACATGTCTGCTACCATGTTCTCACTGATCTGTACTGGACGAGAAGAGACATTATGATGAACTGGTGTACTTTTGTAGCCTAGGGGAAAATATTTTGTAGCCTAGGGGAGCATATTTTTGTAGCCTAGGGGAAAATAGGCAAAGAACCCTTTCTGCCCACAGGCTGCTAACTGCAGGCTCTAGGGTTCCAGTGTACTCTACTTCAACTACTCTTCTGAAAGGAACATGCAAGTACCACATGATTTTCCTTTTGAACATTTGTACACAAAGTCCAACCAGTCTGACTGGCTTATCAGAAACAGGCAGAGGGAGGAAAATACTTCCAAAGGAAGGGAACCAAGAACATATCGTGTAAATTGCAACAATAACATTGCCAAAGGCTGAACATAAGCCAAGCTTAATTATGTTTGGGTTGGAAGGTGGATCTTTATTATTCAGGAATCAAGGCAGTAAAATCATTTGGTAGTAGTTCTCTTAATATTAATATGTATTTATAACTAGCTGTCTGAAACAAGGAAGGGAGATATTATTATAACCAGTTTATCACAAGGTGAGTACTTCACAGGATATGATTAACCTTAGGGAATCAAGAAAAAGACATGAAGCACATTCAGGACAGGCCAGAATAGAAGACTCCTCTTCTCTGCATAGCTTGTTTCCACAGGAGGCCAGGTTCATTTTTCCAGGCCTGCTGCAGTCTGCTCTTCAAGTATTTGTCACTTCCACACTGCTCGTTCCAGTACATCTTCGCTTTCCCTTCCCTTGTGACATACATGCATATTCTCACACTTTCCATCGTAGTTCCCTACTGTTCTGGTTACCTAGTGCCGCTCTAACAGGAATATACCACAAATGGGACAGCCTGAACAGTTTGGGAGGCTAGAAGTCCGAGTTCAAAGTGCCAGGATCTAGGCTGGGTGAAAGCGCCTCAACCGTAGGGTTCAGTTCTGCCTCCTGCTCCCAGCCCACTGGAGCTAGAGGCTTTTCTTCACTCAGACAGCTGCTAGCTGCTGAGACTGACAAGCCCAAAGTTGACAAATAAAAAGGCACAGTCCCGATGTTACCAAACCACACAGCCTGCTATTAACTCAAGTCCATTCAAAGTCCCAAGGTCAGCAGAGTATGGCAGGCTGCTGAACAATGACACAACTACCTGCAAGGTTCAAGCATGCCATAAGCTAGAGCCCATTCCCAAAGCTGTTTCTTATATATGGGAAGCAGACTACATCCCTAAAGCAGCTACTCAGCTGCTTCAGCACATTCCACCATGGAGTTAATTACCAATCTCACCATGGGGAATAACTACATTCAGCTGCCCAGACATTCAAACAGGCCCAGCCAAGTTGACACATAAACATAACCACCACACCTACCCTTACACTTTCAGCACCATATCCGAACCTTCCCCCAGCAACTTCCACATGTACATCCTTCCCTCTCCTCTGAACCTCTCCAGTCTTTCTTTGGCATAACAAGGTTCCAATGGCAAAGTGTCTTATCAAATCCAAAGTCAATACTTACAATGACATGGCCCTTTGGTTGGAAGAAGGACAGCAAATGGCTTGTGTTATCAATAAAAAGTTCAGCTCATGCCATTCGAAAGTGGTCATAATAATTGGTGTTATCATACAGGCTCTTTCTAGGATATAAAACCACTGTAAAATTTACACCCACAGACCAGCAAAGTTACAGACAGATTAAAGCCACCACAAAACACATCTGGTATCAAGCATATCTTCACAAGAAGGATTGGTTACAAGTAAGCCTAGATACTCCTAATACTCTTTATTTATTTTGGCCCACAAGGCCTCCCATATCTGGTCCTTGCCTACCTTACCACCTTGACCTTATATTATACCCTGACCTCTGCCATGCTCTAGAAACCTGGCTGCATTCTGGTTCCTAAACGATCCAAGTTCTTTCTGGCCTCAAGAAGCATGTCCCTTTACATGCTGTCCCTCTTACATCATTCTGTTCTCTCTTCCAGTGTTACCCACACAGACTTGACTGACCTCTCCTTCTATAGGCTTCAGCTTAAATATCCTTTGGTCTCAGCATGTTGCTTATTACCTTCATTGTATTTAATACAATTTGTAACTTTATTTTTTTGCCTATCTCCCTCACTAGACTATATGCTGTATGGGGGCAGCAATACATACGTCTTACTCACTTCTATATCCCCTGATCTCTCCACTGGGCCTTCCGTACTAGCATACTAATGCATAGTGCCTGGTGGAGGGACTTCATAAATATTGGTTGAATGAATGAATGAATGAGAAGGAAATCTATATATGACAGGAGGTCAGCCTTAGGGCATTCCATTGTGCAGCTGGATAAGAGCTCAGCTGTAACCTAAAGCAAGTGTGGATAAGACATCACTGACTCCTTCTCACCTTTACAGCATTTACAATAACTAGGACTAATCCCTCTTCCCACACTGGACCTCATTCCTCCAAGTTGTTCCTCCTTCACAAACAAGTTTACAGAGAACCACCTCAGACTGCTCCAGATCAAATTCCCTTCTGCTTCTAGATATACT